TTAACATAAAGGGATGTTGGATTTTATCAAAGGCCTTTTCTGCATCTATTGAGACAAATATGTGGGTTTTGCCTTTCTTTCTGATTATGTGATGAATCACAATTATTGATTTGTGTATGTGGACCCAAGCTTGCATCTCTGAGATGTAGCCAACTTGATTGTGGTGTATAAGCCTTTTGATGTGCTGCTGGAGTTGATTTGACAGTATTTTATTGAGGATTTTCCATTGATGTTCGTCAAGGATATTGGCCTCAAGTTTTCTTCTATCTCTGCCAGGTTTGGATATCAGGATGATACTGGCCTCATAGAATGAGTTAGGAAGGAGTTCCTCCTTTTCAATTTTTTGGACTAGATTCAGTAGAAATAGTACCCGCTCTTCTTTGTACCTCTGGTAGGATTCACCTGTGAGTCTGTCTGGTCCTGGGCTTCTTGATAGGCTGTTTACTGTTGCCTCAATTTTAGAACTCGTTGTTGGTCTATACAGGGATTCAGTTTCTTCCTGGTTCAGTCTTGGGAGGGTGTATGTGTCCAGGAATGTATCCATTTCTTCTAGATTTTCTAGTTTATGTGCATAGAGATGTTTATAGTATTTGCTGATAGTTGTTTGTATTTCTGTGGAGTCAGTGGTGATACCCCCTTATTATTTCTGATTGCCTCTACTTGAATCTTCTCACTTTTATTCTTTATTAGTTTAGCTAGTGGTCTATTATATTAATTTAAAAAACAGTTCCTGGATTCATTGATTTTTTAAAGGGTTTTTTGTATCTCTGTCTTCTGCAGTTCAGCTCTGATATTGGTTATTTCTTGTCTTCTGCTAGCTTTTGAGTTTGTTTGCTCTTGGTTCTCTAGTTCTTTTAGTTGAGATGTTAGGTTGTTAACTTGAAATTTTTATAGCTTTTTGATGTGGGCATTCAGTGCTATAAATTTCCCTCTTAACACTGTTTTAGCTGTGCCCCAAAGATTCTGCTGCATTTTCTCTTTGTTCTGATTATTTTCAAAGAACTTCTTGATTTCTGCCTTAATTTCATTATTTACCCAAGAGTCAATCAGGAGCAGGTTGCTCCATTTCCATGTGGTTCAGTCGTTTTGAGTGAATTTATTAATCTTGAGTTCTAATTTGAGTTCTAATTTATTAGTCTAGCTAGTGGTCTAGCTAACGCTGTGGTCTGAAAGACTGTTATGATTTCAGTTGTTTTGCATTTGATGAGTTATGTTTTGTTTCCTATAATGTGATCACTTTTTAAGTAAGTGTCATGTGGTGATGAGGAGAATGTGTATTCTGTTATTTTTTTGGTTGAGAATTCTGTAGATATCTATCAGGTCCACTTGATCCATGGCTGAGTTTAGGTCCTGAATATCTTTGTTAATTTTCTCTCAATGATTTGTCTAATATTGTCAGTGAGGTGTTAAAGTCTTCCTCTATTGTTGTGTGGGAATCTAAGTCTCTTTATGGATCTCTAAGAACTTTGTTTATGAATCTGGGTGCTCCTGTATTGAGTGCATATACATTTAGGATAGTTAGCTCTTGTTGAAATGAGCTCTTTATCATTTTGTAATGCCCTTCTTTGTCTTTTTTGATCTTTGTTGGTTTAAAGTCTGTTTTTTCAAAAAGTAGGATTGCACCCCCTACTTTTTTCTGTTTTCCATTTGCTTGATAAGTTTTTATCCATCCTCTTATTTTGGGCTTGTGTGTGTGTCTTCACATGTGCGATGCATTTCTTGAAGACAGCACGCTGACGGATCTTTGTTCTTTATGCAGCTTGCCACTCTGTGTCTTTTAATTGGGGCATTTGGCCCATTTATATTTAAGGTTAGTATTGTTATGTGTGAATTTCATCCTGTCATCATGATGCCCAATGATTATTTTGCAGGCTTGTTCATGTGGTTGCTTCATAATGTCACTGGTCTGTATATTTCAGTGTGTTTTCATAGTGGCTGGAAACGGTTTTTCCTTTCCATATTTAGTGCCTCCTTCAGGAGCTCTTGCAAGGTAGGCTTGGTGGTGATGAATGCCCTCAGCATTTGCTTGTCTGAAAAGGATCTTATTTCTCCTTTGCTTATGACGCTTAGTTTGGCTGGATATGAAATTCTGGGTTGGAAATTCTTTTCTTTAAGAATGTTGAGCCATGTGCAGTGGCTCATGCCTGTAATCCCAGCACTTTGGGAGGCCGAGGCAGGTGGATCATGAGGTCAAGGGTTCAAGACCATCCTGGCCAACATGATAAAACCCCATCTCTACTAAAAATACAAAAATTAGCTGGGCGTGGTGACATGCGCCTGTAGTCCCAGCTACTTGGGAGGCTGAGGCAGGAGAATCGCTTGGTCCCAGGAGGTGGAGGTTGCAGTGAGCCGAGATCACCCCACTGCACTCCAGCCTGGCACCTGACAACAGAGCAAGACTGTCTCAAAAAAAAAAAAAGAATGTTGAGTATTGGCTCCCAATCTCTTCTGACTTGTAGAGTTTCCACTGAGAGGTCCACTGTTAGTCTAATGGATTTCCCTTTGTAGGTGGCCTGGCCTTTCTCTCTGGCTGCCCTTAACACTTTTTCTTTCATTGCAACCTTGGAGAATCTGATGATTATGTGTCTTGGGGTTGATCTTCTCATGGAGTATCTTACTGGGGTTCCCTGCATTTCCTGAATTTTAATGTTGACCTGTCTTGCTAGGTTGGGGAATTTCTCCTGGATCATATCCTGAAGTATGTTTTCCAATTTGGTTCAATTCCCCCAGTCTCTTTCAGGTACCCCAGTCAGTCATAGGTTTGGAGTCTTTACATAATCCTATATTTCTCAGAGGCTTTTTGTCACTGCTTTTCATTCTTTTTTGTTCTCTATTCTTGTCTGCCTATCTTATTTCAGAAATAGTCTTCAAGCTCTAAGATTCTTTCCTCTGCTTGGCCTATTCTGCTATTGATACTTGTAATTGCATTGTGAAGTTCTCATATTGGGTTTTTCAGTGCCATCAGGTCAGGTTATGTCCCTCTCTAAACTGGCTATTCTGGCTATCAGCTCCTGTATTGTTTTATCATGATTCTGAGCTTCTTTGCACTGGGTTACAGATGCTCCTTTAGCTCAGTGAAGTTTGTTATTGCTCACCTTCTGAAGCCTACGTCTATCAAATCAGCCATGTCAGCCTCAGCCCAGTTCCGTGCCCTTGTTGTAGAGGTGTTGCAATCATTTGGAGGAGAAGAGGCACTCTTTGAGTTTTCAGCGTGTTTGGATTTATTTTTTTTTTGGTACCAAATTTCTTTATTTAAAGGAATGGTACAAAGAACTTAAGTGGGTGTTTTGGTACAACCTATAGAAAAGGTGAAGGAAATCCCAACATGCATGCACTGCCTTGGTGACCAGGGAAGTCACCCGTTGGCTATGGGGAAATTAGCCTAAGGCTTAGCTTTCATTATCGCTGTCTCCCATGGTGTGCTTGTCAAAGAGATATTCTGCCAAGTCAGATTGGGGTGCCCCCATCTTGTGCAAGTTGGTCACGTGGTCACCCAATTCTTTGATGGATTTCACCTGCTCATTCAGGTAATGTGTCTCAATGAAGTCACACAAATGGGGGCCACTTTTGTCAGTGGCCAGTTTGTGCAGTTCCAGTAGTGACTGATTCACATTTTTTTCCAAATGTAATACACACTCCATCACATTCAGCCCACTCTCCCCGTCATCATGGTCTGGTTTCTTGATATCCTGAAGGAAGACACGGTCACCTCGTTGGTTCTGCAGCTTCATCAGTTTCTCAGCATGTTCCCTCTCCTCATGAGATTGCTGAAGAAAGTACTTGGCAAAGTTCTTCAAAGCCATATCATCGAGTCAAAGTAGTAAGACATGGACAGGTGAACACAGGAGGCGCAGAGCTCCAGGTTGATCTGGCGGTTGATGGCGGCCTCTGAATCCTGGTGGTAGTTCTGGCGCACCTGTGAAGGTGATGCGGTCGTCATGGCGGCGGCCTTGGGGCGGTCCAAGGGCATGGTGTGGAGGTGACGAAGGGCTGGCTGTGGGCAACCGGCCAGGGTCGGGGACGAGGGCCGGGTTCCGTCCAAGCACTGTTGAAGCAGGAAACCGTGGCGACTCTCGCTGAAGAACGTCTCTGCATTGATTCTTTGTCATCTTTGTGGGCTTGTCTACCTTCAATCTTTGAGGTTGCTGACCTTTGAATGGGGTTTTTGTGGGGGCTTTTTTGCTGATGATGTTGTTGTTTTCCATTTGTTTTCTTCTAACAGTCCAGCGACTCTACCATAAAGTGGCTGCAGTTTGCTGGGGCTCCAATTGAGACTTGGCTTTTCCCACACCTGGACGTATCACCAGTGAAGACTGAGAAGCAGCAAAGATGGCAGCCAGCTCCTTCCTCTGGAAGCTCTGTCCTGGGGGGTACCGACCTGTTGCCACCTTGAACACACCTGCAGGAGGTGGCTGTAGACACCTGTTGGGAGGTCTCACCCAGTCAGTAGAAATGGTATCAGGGACCCACTGAAAGAAGCAGTCTGGCTGCTTTTTTGGTAGAGCAGGTGTGCTGTGTTTTGTTGATAGAGGGGAGTCCTTCCTCATCCAGACCATTTGTATTCTCCAAAGCTGTCAGGCTGGAATGACTAAGTCAGGCAAACTGCAGAGATGGTGGCCGCCCCTCCCCACAGGAGCTCTATCCCAGTGAGAGGTCCGAGCTCTGTCTGCAGAACGCTGGCTGGAGTGGCTGAAGCCCCTGCAGGGAGGACCCGCCCAGTGAGGAGGAGTGGATTGGAATCACTCTTAAAGAACCACTCTGGCCATGATCTGGCAAGGCAGCTGTGCTGTGTTATGGAGGGTCCCCATCACCTGGACCACTTGTATTCTCCAAAGTCTCAGGCTGGAACGGTTAAGTCTACCGAATTGCAGAGATGGCAGCCTTGCCTCACCTGGTAACTCAGACCCATCTCTGGCAGAGTCTGGCCTGTTGCTGTTGGCTGGCTGGGACTCCGAGCCAGTGGGTCTTAGCCTGTGAGGTGCTGTGGAGGTGAGGTTGGCAGAACAATTTTGCTTGGCTCCATGGAGTCAGCCTTCTTCCTGGAAATATGGAAGGATGGATTTCCCGCCGTGGCAGGGATCCTGGGGCTCTGTGTGTGGCTGAGTGGCTGCTCTGCTGAAGTTCCACAAAGTTCTGTGTATTGGACCCAGGCACTGGTGGCAGGGGCTCATGAAGGGATCTCCTGATCTGCCGGAGAGGCCTGATTTCCCAGGCAGGGTCACACAGTCACTCACCGCTTCCTCGGCTGGGGTAGGGTTCCTTTGGCTCCGTGCCACTCCAGCGTAGGCCATCGACCCCTCCACCGCTTCACTTTGTTCTCTGTGAGTCAAGTTGCTTGCCTAATTAGTCCCAACATGAGAACCTGGATATTTCAGTTGAAGAAGCTGAATTCACTCACCCCTTTTCATTCTTCTCTGTGAGACCACAGCTGTTTCTAATTAGCCATCATGGATCAACCTGACGGTTATTTTAAGGTCATCTAGTTGCATGGCTTTAAGTAACACCTTCCCAAATCCATATTTCAGCTCAGATCTTTCCCTGGGCCTCCAGATAAGCCATGACCTGTCTGACCTCTACCTTGGGGTGTCCAACAGGCATCCACCCAACTCATCGAAACTCAAGGGTCTGTTCTACTCACACAGATCAGTTCCACCCTAGCACCCTGTTTGGAGGCTGGAAACCCTATCCCTGCTCTGGCCAGAAACCTCAGGGCCGTCTTCTATGCCCCAACCCACAGCCAGGCAGCAAATTCTGTGGCCTCTCACCTCGACGCATGTTGGAGCCTGACAGAGCCCTGCATTTCTGACCTGGGTGATGAAAGAGCCACCCCTGGTCCTGTCTATTTCAAAGGAACTGCCACAGATATCCTTCAAAATTTTAAGTCAATATACATCATCCTGTGCTCAAAATGGCTTTGGGCTCATTCCGAGTAAGAGCTGAGTCATTAAAGGCGACTGAGTCACCACATGAGTTTGCCTCTGGCTACCCCCAGCCCTGTGTCAGCCTCCGCCTCTGACACCCACAGGGCTGCCCCTGCCCCTCTTCATGTCTTTACCCAGATATCACGCAGGGAGCCTCCTCTGACTCAAAGTGCGCTCCCAGGGATCCCAGCCTCTTTCTCAGCTCTATTCTTCCCATGAAGGAATCGCCCTTGTGTGGTAGAATTCACTTGTTTGAGATGTTTATCCTTCCTGTAAGCTCTGGAAGACAGTTTTGTCTCTTTTGTTCCCTGACGATCCCAGGAGGAAGAGTAGTGTCTAGCACACCCGGTGCTCCATGAGTATTTGTGGAATGAACTAGCTAAACAGTTAAGTGATTAGAATCAATGAATGGAACCCTTGAGCTATTTGCTAGGATGGGCTGTGGTGAAACACCCTTTATTGCCCGAGTCCTCAGCACACCTGCCACTCACCAGTGCCGCCAACGGGAGGGGCAGGCCCTTGTGCCCAGGCCAGGGGTGTTGGATTTTGTTCTGAAGGTACTCGGACCCTGCTAGGATGTCTTGATCAGAAAAATGATGGGACCAGATCAGTCGTTTGAGAAAAATCTCACTGGCCGCAGCATGGAAGAAGGATGGGGTGGACAGGGCTGAGGTTCTTGCCCCTGGGTCTCCAGCACACGCCTCTGCCTTGGGTCTGCTCGGAACTGGGGACTGGCAGCTGCACTGCTGGGCAGATCAAGGCAGCGGGAACATTCGTTCTCCAAAATGATGACAGGAGACGGCTTCCCTGGCTGCCACCTCGGTCCTGAAAGAGGAATTCCAAAGGCAGTTGCCTCGGATCCCACTCGGACTCAAGAACATGTTGCCTCTCTTAAATGCAAGGTGGCAAAGGGGAACAATGGGGGGACCCCAGAGGACAGATGGGGCTGCAGCCTTGCATGGCCACAGGGTCTGCCTCTGCCCAGCCACCTCCCTCCTCGGGCCTTCATTCTGCTCCTCTCTACCTAAGGCCAGCCACTCCCCTGCCCTACAATGAACCACCCATGTCCCTGTTGAGGGCACCGTGCACCCTGGGGGCCCTCTCAGCCAAGAGACGGTCCCCAGGCTTCAGCGGCCCAGGGACCCTGAGCAGCCACTCCCACTTCTTGTCATCACAGCCGAAAATGACCTGTAGATGAGGGTATCCTATCCCACCAGCCCCAGGGGACATGTTCAGGCTGGAAGAAGCCACCAAACACTGCCACCACCTTCCCAGCTCCAGAGGCTCTGTGCCAACACCAGGGCCCCTTGGGCCTGCCCAGCCCACAGACCTTGGACTCTGAGGGCTGTCAGGAAAGGTGCAGGTGGAGCCGGGGTCCTGCCCAGCAGGTGCAGTTCCCAGGCTGCCTCTGGGTGGCGTGCTTGGACCAGTCAGGTGCCCTGTGTTCACCTAACACCAGGGAACCCGTCTCCCGCTGCCAGGGCTGTGCAAGCCGGTAGAAGCACAGACGTGGGCATTCCTCAGCCCTGCCCAGGCCTCGAGGGTGGCGGGTCAGGCACCCCTGCAAAAGGTTCTGGTCTTCCAAATCACACAGACCCCCACCCTCCTTGTTTTCTAGAACTTTCATAGCAAGCTACCACAGACTAGATGGCTTCAACAGCAGAAACATATCCGCTGACCATTCCGAAGCCTGAACGTCCGTGACCAAGATGTTGACAGGTGCGGTCTCTGCAGAAGCCTCTCTCCTGGTCTGCAGACAGCCGCTGCCTCTTCACATGGCCGTTCCTCCACACGTGCTCAGCCGGGGAGGCTGTGAGCCACCCGTTCTCCTCTTACAGGAATGCCAGTCATGTCGAATGAGAGCTCCACCTTCATGCCTCATTTCTACTTAATCACCTATTATTTATTTATTTATTTATTTATTTAAGACTGAGTCTCACTCTCTTCCCCAGGCTGGAGTACAGTGGCGCGATCTCAGCTCACTGCAACCTCTGCCTCCTGGATTCAAGTGATTCTCCTGCCTCACCCTCCTGAGTAGCTGGGATTACAGGTGTGCACTACCATGCCCAGCTAATTTTTTGTATTTTAGCAGAGACGGGGTTTCGCCATGTTGGCCAGGCTGGTCTTGAACTCCTGAGCTCAGGCAATCGGCCCACCTTGGCCTCCCAAAATGCTGAGATTACAGGCATGAACCACCACGCCGGGCCTAAATCACCTCTTTAAAGGTCTTATCTTTTTTGTTTCTTTTTTTTTTTTTTTTTTTTTGGGAGACGGAGTTTCTCTCTTGTTACCCAGGCTGGAGTGCAATGGCGCGATCTCAGCTCACCGCAACCTCCACTTCCTGGGTTCAGGCAATTCTCCTGCCTCAGCCTCCTGAGTAGCTGGGATTACAGGCACGCGCCACCATGCCCAGCTAATTTTTGTATTTTTAGTAGAGACGGGGTTTCACCATGTTGACCAGGATGGTCTCGATCTCTTGACCTCGTGATCCACCCGCCTCGGCCTCCCAAAGTGCTGGGATTACAGGTTTGAGCCACCGCGCCCGGCCTGTTTCTTTTTTTTTGAGACAGAGTCTTGCTCTATCACCCATGCTGGAGTGCAGTGGCACAATCTCGGCTCACTGCAACCTTTACCTCCCGGGTTCAAGCGATTGTCCTGCCTCAGTCCCCCGGAGCAGCTGGGACTACAGGTGCCCACCACCACGCCCAGCTAATTTTTGTATTCTTTATTTAGTAGAGACAGGGTTTCACCATATTGGCCAGGCTGGTCTCAAACTCCTGACCTCAGGTGACCTGCCTGCCTCGGCCTCCCAAAGTGTTGGGATTACAGGCGTGAGCCACCACACCCAGCCAAAGTTCTCATCTCCAGATATAATCACATAACCAGGTACTGAGGGTTGGGACTCCAACATATGAATTTTGTGGGGCACAATTTCAATCCGTAACACTGACGTAAGGTTCTTGTACTTTATGTGAAGTGGCATAACATTATGTAAACGAGACAATTCAGTGGAGAAAGAAACGTCTTTTCAACAAATGATGCTGCAACTATTGAATATGCATGTGCAAAAAGAAAAAGAGCCTCCATCTATACCCGGACGACGTACAGAAATAACTCAAAACGCACTGTAAACCTAAATGTCACACCTACGGCTGTACCCTTTCCGGAGGTAAACACAGGCGAACATTTCTGTGATCTTGAGTGGGATCTTGAGTGGACAAAGATTTTTTAGCTATGATATCAAAAGCATCATCTATAAAAATGATAAACCAGACTTCATCAGAATTAAAAGCATCTGCTCTTGGGAAGACACTGTTAACAGAATTAAACGGCAATTCACAGACTGGAAGAAAGCATTCTAAAATCACCTATCTGATAAAGGATTCACATCTGGAATATTTAAAGAACAAAACGCCTCACAGTACCCCCGACCCTTATCCATGGTTTCGCTTTCTGTGGTTCCAGCCACCAGGAGTAAACTCTGGTTTGAAAATATTACATACAACAAGATATTTTGAAAGAGGGAGAGAGAGCCCATATTCACATAACTTTTATGGCAGTATGTTGTTATATTTTATTATTAGCTCTTAAACTCTATGGAGGTGGCCGGGCACAGTGGCTCACACCTGTAATCCCAGCACTTTGGGAGGCCAAGGTGGGTGGATCACCTGAGGTCGGGAGCAAGACCAGCCTGACCAACATGGAGAAACCCCGTCTCTACTAAAAATACAAAATTAGCCAGGCATGGTGGCACCTGCCTATAATCCCAGCTACTTGGGAGACTGAGGCAGGAGAATCACTTGAACCCAGGAGGCAGAGGTTGTAGTGAGCCGAGATCATGCCATTGCACTCCAGCCTGAGCAACAAGAGCAAAACTCCATCTAAAAAAAAAATCTGTGGAGGCTGAGAGAGGTGAGGAGGCTGCAGAAGAAAAGTTTGAAGCAAACAGAGCTTGGTTTATGAGGTTTGAGGAAAGAAATCATCTCCGTAACACGAAAGTTCGAGGTGAGGCAGCAGGTACTGACAGAGAAGCTGCAGCAAGTTACCCGGAGCATCCAGCTGAGATCATCGGTGAAGGTGGCCCGCTACACAGAGTTTTCATGTAGACAACAGAGTTTTCTGTTGGAGGAAGATGCCGTCTAAGCCTTTCATAGCTAGAGAGAAGTCAGTGCCTGGCTTTGAAGCTTCACAGCACAGGCTGACCCTCTTGTTAGGGTCTAATGCAGCTGGTGGCCTCAGACGGAAGCCAGTGCCCATTTGCCATTCAGAAAATCCTACGGCCCTTAAGAATTATGTCAGATGTACTCTGTCTGTGCTCTAGAAATGGAGCAACACAGCCTGGAGCGCAGCACGTCTGTTTACGGTATGGTTCACAGAATCCATTAAGCCCACTGTTGAGAGCTGCTGCTTGGGAAAAACAAGATTCCTTTCATAATATGACTGTTAGCCTGGGCATCACATTCATGTCTGTAATCCCAGAACTTTGGGAATCCGAGGCAGGAGGATCACTTGAGCCTAGGAATTCAAGACCAGCCTGAGCAACATAAGGAGACCCTATCTTTACAAAAAATTTAAAAATTAGCCAGCCATGGTAGCTCATGCCTGTGGTCTCAGCTACTCAGGGGGCTGAGGTGGGAGGATCGCTTGAGCCTGGGAGAGCAAGGCTGCAGTCAGCCACGATCACGCCATTGCACTCCGGCCTGGGTGACAGAGTGAGACCCTGTCTCAAAATATATTTCTATTCATTGGCAATGCACCTAGTTACCAGAGCGCTGATGGAGACCCAGGTGGAGATTCAAGCTGTTTTCAGGCTTGCAACACAGCAGCCGCTCTGCAGCCCACGGACCAAGGGGTCGTGTCGACTTCCAAGTCTTACTATTGAAGAAATGCATTTCTAAGGCTTTAGCGGCCGCAGACACTGATTCCCATGATGGCTCTGGGCAAAGTTCACTGAAAACCTTCTGGAAAGGATTCAGCATTCCAGATGCCATTAACAACATTGATGATTCATGGGAAGAGGTTAAAACAGCAACATGAACAGGAGTTTGGAAGAAGCTGATCTCAACCCTCATGGGTGACTGAGGAGCTGACGACATCAGTGGAGGAAGTCACTGCGGATGTGGTGGAAACAGCAAGAGAACTAGAATTAGGAGTGGAGCCTGAAGATGGGACTGAATTGCTGCAATCTCAGGATGACATAACTTTTTTTGAGATCAAGTCTTGCTCTGTTGCCCAGGCTGGAGTGCAGTGGCTCTATCTCGGCTCACTGCAACCTCTACCTATAGGTTCAAGTGATTCTCATGATGCAGTCACATAAATAGCTGGGATTACATGTGCCCACCACAGGCCTGGATAATTTTTGTATTTTTAGTAGAGTCGGGGTTTTGGCATGTTGGCCAGGCTGGTCTCAAACTCCTGACCTCCAGTGATCCACCCGACTTGGTCTCCCAAAGTGCTGGAATTATGGGCGTAAGCCACTGCACCTGGCCCATTGTTTTATTTTTTACTTTGGAACATGTGTGGTCTTTTAACCGTAGCCAACAGTAAACACATGTTTACATGTGAGCATCACACAGACTGCTGGTATGGTTGGGTTTGCAGAGCATGGCTCTGAAGGTGGGGGCTGCAGGCAGCCTGGAGTCTGGTCCTGCGTGCTGAGGCCGGGATTATTTCTCTCTGAGGCACACGCTGCTCAGGGTCTCCTGCAGGAAGGGTCCTCCCTCCCCAGTCATGCCCAGCATTTCTTCAGGGTTGAGGGTTGCCTCTTTTTTTTCCAAAAGAAGAAAAAACAACTTATTGTGGTCAAGTGCACATAACATAAAATTTACCATCTTAACCATTTTAAGTTTACAATTCAGTGGTATTAAATATATTCATGATAACTGTACCACATCATGAATGCATTTAATATGTAAAAGGTTTAATATGTTAAAGGATGTGAAAGGTTTCATCTCCAGAACCTTCCAGTCTTCCCAAACTGAAACTCTGCTGCCATTAAACATTGGCTTCCCACTCTCCCTCCCCTGGCCCTGGCACCCACCCTTCCACTCTCTGTCTCTGGGAATGTGACTTGTGACTGCTCCAGGGACCTCTTTTAAGTGGAATTACACAGTATTTGTCCTGTTGTGTCAGGCTTATTTTCCTTAGCACAGTGTCCTCAAGGTTCACCTGAGTTGTGGCATGTATCGGAATCTCCTTCCTCTGTAAGGCCGAGGAATGTCCAATTGTATGGATGGACCACATTTGCTCATCCACTCACCCGTTCATGGACGCTTGGCTGCTTTTACGTTTTAGCTGCTGTGAACAGTGCTGCTTTGAACACAGGTGTACAAACGTGTCTTTGAGGACTGTGGGGCGGTTTATGGTACAGAAATGCATCTGCTTTTCTGCAGCTGTAAACAAAGAGGGGATTTTTTTCCCTTCTTACTTTGTCAACATTTATTTCACAAGAAATTGGGAGAGCTGGCAGGTTTTTTCTCAAAGGGACAGTGCCTTGCTCTGTAACCCAGGCTGGACATGAACTCCTGGGCTCCAGTGATCCTCCTGCCTCAGCTCCGAAGCAGCTGGGACCACAGGCACACACCACTACACCCAGCTAACTGGCAGGTTTTAAGGCCAGGTGTAGGAATTCCATTAAGTAATTCTACAAGGGAAAGAAGGCCAGAGCGGGAAGCTCAACATTGACAAAACATAAAGAAATAAGGCAGAAAAATATTATTGACACATGGAAGATTGGCCCATGGAAGACTGACACATGGAGGATGATTGACACAGGGAAGATGATTGACCCATGGAAGACAGACACTTGAAGATGGACCCATGGAAGATTGACACATGGAAGGTAATTGACACATGGAAGATGGACACTTGGAAGATAGACCCATGGAAGATCGACATATGGAAGGTGATTGACATGTGGAAGATGATTGACACTGGAAGGTGGACCCATGGAAGAGATGAAACCTCATTTAATATGTGAAAGGCTTACAAATTAAACCTTTTACATATTAAAGGTGACACCTTCACCTTCCCCTAGATATTCAGTCACATAATCCAAATACCGATGACAAATTCATCTCTTCCTCCCCAGAATGTAGGCTCCACATTCCTGTTTGCTGCCTTCCAGAGTAACCTTAGGAACGGTGTTATGGGGGTTGTCTCTGGCTGGCATCGCCGGACGTCTGCCGAGATGGCACAGTCCCTCCCTTCTTTGCCGTGTGCCTCTTCAGTGAGACTCTGCTGCTCTGTTACCAAGAGGTGAAGCCTTTTCTCTGTCCCTTGATCCAGGCTGGGCTGTGACTTACCTTGACCCACAGAGAGTGGCAGGGAGCCAGTCAGGACCATCCCAGGGAAGGCCTCCGGGCTGCTCAGCTTTTGCCCCTGCCTCGCAGAACCTTGCCTGAGGCTGTGAGACAGCCAGGTCTAGCCCTCTGGAGTATCAGCAGCTGTGTGGAGCAGCTGAGGCCTCCTGGACCAACCAGCCAGGGGCTGGCACCAGCTGCCAGGCTCATGAGAGGCGTTGCCACATCCAGCCCAGGTCAGCTGCCAGATGGCCAAGCTGCACAGTAGTCAGAGAACTGCCCAGCTGAGCCCACCCCAATAGCCTGGCCCACAGAGCCATGAGCAAATAAAATTGTTTAGCCCACTAAGTTTGGGAGCAGTTTGCTATGCAGCAAAAGATAGCTAACACTCCAGGACTTCCTAGAAAACATAGCCTGAGGCCAGGGCTAAGGTGAGTCATTTATTAAGGAGATACAATTCCAGGAGCAGCGATAGCATCTGACACCTGGCTTGTGACAGCTGCAGAGGCGCAGTGGGTTGCTCAGCACGTGTGCTCTCGGATGCCTGCAGGCCAGCATTTCACCCCCATCTAGAAGAGGCAGGAAGGAACAACCAAGACGGAGATTGAGGAAGGCATCCCGCCTTCACCCTGCACACAGGGGCTGGGTGTGATGTGTCGGAGAGCAGGTGCTGGTCTTTCTCAGGGATGTCATTTCC